GGCCACCGCCTCCCGGCGCGGGTTAAGGAGGATCGCGGGTCCCCGCAGCCCGCCGGTCGCCGGCCCTCCGCACCCGGGCGCCAGCGGTGCCAGCGTCCACGCTAAGCGCCACGCAGACCTCTCATTGTGCTGTGGTCTCCTCCTAGACGAGCATTCCCGGTTTTCTGAGGAACGGATTTGATGGCTTCTCTCTTTCTCTTCCAGACCGCTCATAAAGGGTTATGGAGCCTGGCGTGAAGTTAAAGTTTACTCCTATCCTGGAGGTCAGTGGCTGCTCCTTGGATCAGTGGACGTATGAAAGGATAGATGAGCTTGTTAGAGAGAAATAAGCAGCGGGAGATGGGGTCTCGTGTTAGCTCCTGCTCTGTAAACTTGTGCAAGGCCCTTGTTTCTGGAGTCCTAGGTCCCAAAGAGGGGACTTTTGGATACTCTGGCCTGCCTACTAATATGGATGTCGCAGTCACCAAAGGAAACGATTTGTGTGGAGATGCTCTTTAAAACCGTACACTATACAAAGGGTGCAAAGTGTGATTATTAATTTCCCCCTTGACATGCCTATAAAATATTTTTGACCTTTGTCCTAACTTCAAGTGACATTCCTATAAAACATTTTATCCTGAGTGCCGCAGCGGGCATAGAATGTTCTCTCAACATATCCCTCTACTCCTTACAGAAGAATTTCCATCTCAGGGCAGGAAATACCGCCAGGGTAGCCCTCCTCCACTTCTACCCCTCCAGTCACGCTATTCCAGTACAAACTCTTACACACATCACCCTCAGGCTTATTTTTCTCCAACTGTGTTTTTACATAAAACAAGGCAAAAAAAAACAACAACAACAAAAAAAAAAACTATTCATTTGCTATTTGAATTGTTCGAAAAGATTACAGTTTGATAACTACCTTTAGATAGTAATGCCATTTGTCTCCTGGCTAAATGGTTGCTACTGCAATTAAGTTCTAGGTACATACAATCACATTACACATACAATGTGCAGACATTAAGCCTTCGCACTTCCCGTGTGTTATCACACTGGATTCTTCTAGCAATTACACACAGCCCTGTTATTATGCCTTTTAGAGTGTAACTATGGCTTGAAGATACTGTGTCCGAGTTCACAGAATTCACACCATTACATAATTAGTACTATTTTAAGCCAGGTATTAAATGCAAATGACCTCAGAACCAGGTTCTGAACCTCTAGTATACGGTTGGCTTGAACTGTGAAAACGTAAATCATTCTCGAATTGCCAGGAGTGAAGCCCAACACAACTGTTCCCCTCCCCACAGCTCTGATGTCCAGTTTTAAGACGCATGTCCTCCAGCATGGGGGCGCCCACCTGTGATCACAGAGAAGGGCCTTGAGTTCAAGGCCAGCTGGCCTCCCTGATAAGACCCTGTCCTTAAAAGGAGAAGAGGAGGCTACAGTTATAGCTCAGTTGGTAGAATGCTGGCCTTACAAGCATGAGGCCCTGGGCTCCATTCCTAGCACCACAAAAGCATAAACCCTATATGGTGGCAAGTACCTGTAGTCCCAACACTGGGGAGGAGAGACCAGGAAGATCAGGAGTTCAAGGTCAGCCTACACTACTAATCATTTGAGAAAGAGAGGTTGTTATAAGACAGGTCTCACGTAGCCCGGGCTGGCCTCAAACTCACTGTGTAGTAAAGGATGACTAAACTTCTGGTCCTGGCCAGGCAGTGGTGTTAACACATTTTTTTTAACTTTTTTTATTTTTATTTTTATCTTTTTTAATTTTCCAGAGCTGAGGACCGAACCAGGGCCTTGTGCTCGCTAGGCAAGCGCTCTACCGCTGAGCTAAATTCCCCAACCCCTGTCACGCATTTTTATTCCCAGCACTTGGGAGGCAGAGGCAGGTGGGTCTCTGAGTTCCAGTTCAGCCAGGGCTACACAGAGAAACCCTGTCTTGAAAAACCAAGAAAAAAAAAAAAATCTTTAAGATTCTGACCCTGGGCTGAAGAGTTGGCTCAGCAGTTAAGAGCACCTGCTCTTCCAGAGGACCCAGGTTCAATTCCCAGCACCTGCATGGGAGCTCACAGCCATCTGTTAATGCCAGTCCCAGGGCAACTGATACCCCCTTCTGACCTGCATAGTTACAAGGCACATACATGCACATACATACATGCAGGCAAAGCAGTCATATACATAAAAAATAATAAAATAAATAAATAAAATTTTAAACTCCTGATCCTCCTGTCTCCCCCTGCCCAAGTGCTGGGATTACAGGCCTGTGGGCGCAGTTGCTCTGGTGGTGGTAATTTTGTTTTATTTTGTTTCAAGATAACTTTTTTATTTATATTGTAGTTTTTGTTTGTTTGTTTTTTATTTGTTTTTGTTTTGTTTTTTTGAGACAAGATTTCTCTGTGTAGCTTTGGTGCCTGTCCTGGATCTCTATCTGTAGACCAGGCTGGCCTCGAACTCACAGAGATCCTCCTGGCTCTGCCTCCTGAGTGCTGGGATTAAAGGCGTGCGCCACCACACCGCCTGGCTTTATATTTTAGTTTTTAATTATGTATCTCTGTGTGGGGTGCAGGTGTTCTTGGAGGGCAGAAGAGGATATGGAATCCCCTGGAGCTGCAGTTATGGCGGGTGTGAGATGTCTGATTGTGGGTGCTGGGAACCCAGTTCAACTCCTTGGCAAGAGCGGCACTGCCTTTAACCGCCTAGCATCTCCTCAGCCCCACGTGTCCAGTTTTAGCCCGCACTGAGGCAAGCATCCTACCAATTGAGCTACAGACCAAGACACCTGGACGTGGTGGCCCACATCTATAACCCCCAGCACTTCCAAGGCTGAGACAGGAGGGTTGCCACCGTTTGAGGCTAGCCCAAGCTACACAGTGAATTCCAGGCTCAGCCTGGGCTTCAGAGTCAGAATGTATCTACAAATCTTTCTGGGTCTGTGTTGGATGGTATCCTTAATTTTCTAACATCACATTTGCAGGGCAGCGGTTAGAAGTAGAAGTACTGTAAAGTGGAAAGGCTTAGGGCGTGGAGACATGGTTAATAGAGCATACGGTTCTCACAGAGGACCAGAGTTTGGATCCCAGCACCCATGCCCAGCGCCCACAACTGCCTGTAACTCCAGAGGAGTCGGGCACCTCTGAGGGCACAGGCACTCATGTGCAAGACCCACACACATATACAAAATTGAATTTTCAATAAAAGTCCTTTTTTAAAATGGAAAAATTAAAGATTAAAATTTCTTAAAAATTCAAAAACATAAAAAGCTCAAATATTGTTCATATATACAAGATGTTGGCCGTAGCATTTTTATAGAAGCAAATAAAGAAGAACTTATAGTAAATCTACATAATAGAATATTGTTTGGCATTAAAAAGAGCAATTTTATTTAATTCTATGTGAGCCCAAATAAACCCTTCC